TATTTTTTATGTGTAACCATGTTGTTCAATGTCCACAGAGATCAGAAGAGGGCATCAGATCCCCTGGAACTGGAATTACTAATGATTGTTAGCTATCATGTAGGTGCTGGGAATCAAACCTGGGTCCTCTACAAGAGCAGTCAGTGCTCTTAATTTTTTTAAAAAAATTCTTTTTTAAAAATATTTTTTAAAATTTGTTTTATGTGTACGAGTGTATTGCCTGCATGTATGTAAGTGCACCCGTGTTGTACAGTGCTCATGGAGGTCAGAAGAGGGCGTCAGATCCCTTAGATCTGGAATTAGAGATGGGTGTTAGCTGCCATGTGGGTGCTGGGAACCAAACCCAGGTCCTCTGCAAGACCAGTCAGTGGTCTTAACTGCTAAGCCATCTCTCTAGCCCCAGTTCACACATTCTTTTAATACATTTTTATTGACTAGTTTCTTTGGCTCTGGCTCTACCGTCCTGAGACTCAGAGTCTTGTCACCCTTTTGACCCAGGGCTGGAGTGTGTGGAAGTCTAGTGGGATGCATGAACACAGAGTGGGACCCTGATCCAGCCTGGTGGGTCAGGGAGGCCTTCCCAGAAGAGGTACTTGAAGAACAGTAGGAATTAAGAAAGACAGGGAGCAAAGGAATGGGTTCTCAATGAAGACACAGTGTATCTGAACTCCGTCTCTTACCTGGGCCACCATTACACTTGCTAAAGTTGCAGCACCGAAGGAAGTGGAAGGTGCTGTTGCTGTGGAAACCAGTTGGGACTGTGCAGCCAGGAAGATTGCCACAGCCTCGGATGTAATTTTCATCCTTCATGCTTCCTGTGGGGCCAAGGAGGGGTCATGGTGAGGGGATGGTAGGGGATTTACCTCCTTGAGCAGGCCTCCCTTTCATCACAGAGCCCTCATCTATCATTCTATATAAGTAGAACTTCATGTATTTATAGGCTTCCAGAAAGAACCCTTGCAAAAAGACAGAATGCCTCTTTTTTGCCCCTTCTTTTCCATTTCCTTCTTTCTGGAACTTAGACAGCAGGCCTGGAGCTCTGGCAGCTGTATTGGATCATGAGGCGGTCTTCAGAATAGAAGCCCTATGTGAGACATGTCAAGGTGCTTGGGTTCCAGGTCATTCTGAAACTGTCCAGATCCCATGCTTAAATCCCTATCACCTAAATGTCTCTATTAAATGCAGCCTTAGGGAATTGCTGACAGGTGGGCAGGTGGGAGCTTACCATTCGGGCCCTGAAGCGTCACCACCTCCACGCACTGTTCTCCAGGGTAGCGACACTGCAGGACCTGCTCCCGGCCCCTCTCACAGCTCAGGTCAGAAGAGGTGCAGGACACACACTCAAGGTAACGGCCTTGGGGAAAGGCCAGTCCTCGGCCTCCTAGAAAGAAGGGTGAGAGGGTAGGTCCTGGAGGCTCAGCTCCCTCAAGGACAACCCTCTGCAAACTCTCAGTCAGTCATCAACCTTGCTTATGCCAAATCTTTCTAGAATCCAACCCATCCTTTTCACCCTCAGATCCAGCTTTCAGGAATTATCATCACCGTTTCCCACCCCAGTCCATCTGCACATGGCCCTGAAAGGAAGTTTTTGATACACACCAAATCTGACCTCTCCTCTGGTCAAAGTCTTTCCAATGCTCCCTATTGCCTGTAGAATAAAATCTAAGCTCTGAGTATGGCATTCAAGGCCCGTAGAAGACTGGGTGGGTCCTGGCTGTCTCTCCTGCTTCATCTTGCCTCGTAGTGCCAGCCCCGCCCAGGCTTTCTTGCACACTGACTCCCCACAATCCCAGAACGCACACCCTGACTGATATCCAGCCTTCCCATATGCTGTGCCTTGGTCAGGAACACCATTCCTTTGCTGCCTTTCTTAACTCCTACTCGTTCTTCAAGCACCATCTCTGATATCACCTCTTCTGGGAAGTCCTCCCTAATCCAGCAGGATGGATCAGGGCCCTACTCCGTGCTCATACAGCCAGCGCTCCAGCCCTGCCTGCTCTGGGTCTGAACAGTCTAGTGACAAGACTGTGAGTCCCAGGAGGGTGGTAGGGCCAGGGCTGTTGTGGTCACCATGGTGTCCCAACACAATCAGAATAGAGCCAGGGCTAAAGAAGACATTCCATTAAAATGTATTAAATGGGGCTGGAGAGATGGCTCAGCAGTTAAGAGCACTGACTGCTCTTGCAGAGGACCCGGGTTCGATTCTCAGTACCCACATGGCCACTACAAACCTTCCTTAACTCCAGTTCCAGGAGAATCCGAAGCCCTCTCTGACCTCCATGACATTGCATGACATGGGTGCACTCACATACATGCAGGCAATACACTCATACACATAAAAAATAAAAATAAATAAAATATTTTTAAAAAATGTATTAAATGAATGTGTGAATCAACAGTTGTGCAAAACCCTACTATTGTTCCCTGGAGCAGTCAGTGGGACCCAGGACCTGCACAGGCTAGGCAAGCTCTCTACCTCTGAGCCACACCCCAGCCCCTCACTGGGGGATTCTAGGCAAGCTCTCTACCTCTGAGTCACACCCCCAGCCCCTCACTGGGGGATTCTAGGCAGGTGCTCTACCACTGAGCCACACCCCAGCCCCTCACTGGGGGATTCTAGGCAGGGGCTCTACCTCTGAGTCATACCCCCAGCCCCTCACTGGGGGAGTCTGGGCAGATGTTCTACCACTGAGCCACACCCCAGCCCCTCACTGGGGGATTCTAGGCAGGGGCTCTACCACTGAGCCATGCTCCCAGCCCCTCACTGGGGGATTCTAGGCAGGGGCTCTACAACTGAGTCATGCCCCCAGCCCCTTACTGGGGATTCTAGACAGGGGCTCCTTGATCAAGCTGCATTCTCAGCCCTTTGGTTTTCTGAGACAGAGTCTCACTGTGTAACCCAGCATCCAAAATCCGTCACCTTCAGCTATTTTGTAACACAATACATCTATCTCTGTCTTAATTTCTGTGACAATCTGCCTTGCAGCCACAACTGTACACCTGCCATTCAATTACCTGAGAGGTCAAGGCTTGACTTGATTGATCTGTGATAACTTTGCTATTTTTCTCCAAGTTTCTAACAGTGGCTAACTGGATCCATTTCTTTTCCCTGGAAATATCAAGGCATTGTTCCTCTGCCCAGCTTTGGCTCACACAGTCCTCCAGCCTGGCACAGCCTGGTCATCCTGACCCAGGAGATCAGAGCTGTGTCTAAGCCAGGGATGCCCACTGGCAGACTCAAGGCAATTAGGTGAATCATTCCTATTCACGGCCAAATCTTGGTGCTCAAAGAAAAATGCCTAAAAGGCCCACAGCTCTCCTCTTCCAATGAAATTCCACGAAAACTGAAAGAAGAGCTTCTGCCAGGCATGATGGCACATGCCTGTGATTCCAGGAGTTTGGAGGCTGAGGCACGAGGTTTGCAAGTTTGAGGCTAACCTAGGCTACCCAATGAGACTGGGTCTCAAAAAAAAAAAAAGAAATCAAAACAGGAATTTCCAGTACAACTATGTTAGCTGTCCCACACCTCCCATGGGTTTCTTTTGAAAACTCTTCTTCCTAGGACACTCTTTTAATTGTGGGTCAAATGACCCTCAGGGATTTATTTAAGCCCCTTTTTTTCTTGATGTTTAAACTCTCTCTAAGGCCAGCCAGATCTACATAGCGAGTTCCAGGCCAGCTGGGGCTATAGGGAGACCCCATCTCAAAAAAAAAAAAAAAAAAAAAAAAGACCAAAACAATGTCTGACCCTGTGTTTCTGTTGGCAAAGCGTCAGTCACAGATAATAGTCTAACCAGGCATGGTGATGCCAATGGAGAGAGCTACTTGGCAGGCTGAGGCAGGAGTCTCATGAGTCTAAAGCCAGCCTAGGCTACATAGCGAGTTCAAGGCCAACCCAGGCACCTTACTGAGACTGTTTCACAAAAAAATGAAGAAGGGCCCAGCATGGTGGTGCATGCCTTTAGTCCCAGCACTCAGAGGGCAAAAGCAGGTAGATCTCTATGAATTCAAGGCCACTCTGGTCTATATAGTGAGTTCTAGGCCAGCCAGGACTAGTGAGACCTGTTTCAAAAATGAATGAAGAGCTGGGGGTGTGGCTCAGTGGTAGAACCCCTGCCTAGAATTCCCCAGTGAGGGGAGGGGTGTGGCTCAGTGGTAGAGCACCTGCCTAGAATTCCCCAGTGAGGGGCTGGGGTGTGACTCAGTGGTAGAGCACCTACCTAGAATCCTCCAGTGAGGGGCTGGGGCATGGGTCAGTGGTAGAGCACCTGCCTAGAATACCCCAGTGAGGGGCTGGGGCATGGGTCAGAGGTAGAGCACCTACCTAGAATCCCCCAATGAGGGGTTGGGGCATGGTTCAGAGAGAGAACACCTGCCTAGAATCCCCAGTGAGGGTCTGGGTGTTGTGGCTCAGTGGGAAAGACTTTGCCTAGCATGCCCCAGGCCCAGTATGGCAGTAAAAAAGGCTCCCCAGGCGTGGTGGCTCATGCCTTTAATCCCAGGCAGAGGCAGGCAGATCTCTGTGAGTTCAAGGCCAGCCTGATCTACATATTGAGTTCCAGGCCAGCTGGGCTACGGGGAGACGCTGTCTCAAAAGACAAAACAAAACAAAACAAAAAGACAAAAAATGTCTGACCCAGACCTGTGTACCCAATCGCCTAGCTGCCTCTTGGTTGTTCCTGGCCAGACCTCACACACCTGAGGTCTGTTCTGCTATGGTTTGGATATAGTTTGTCCTCCTGGGATTCATGTGTCTGGAAGGGATTACTGTAGTTCTCATAGGACTCCAGGTTAGTTCCCAAGACAGTGTGTTGTTCTATAAGGGTGAGTCCTCTCCCTCCCAGAGCTGGGCTTCCTGTCTGGTTTTTTAGTTATCCCTCAGCACTCACATCCAGTCTTGAGGTCATGGTTGGGGGGCTCTCTACAGAGCTCTTTGGACTTCCCTCCTCAAAAACTGTGAATTATATCAATGTTTTTTTTTTTTCAATTTTTATCTATTTGATTTTTTTTCTTTTGGTTTTGTTTCTGAGACCCAGTCTCACTCTGTAGTCTAGGCTGTCCTGGAACTCACTAGGTAGATCAGGCTGGCCTCAAACTTGTGGCAATCTTTCTGCCTAGCCTCCCAAGTGCTGGGATTATAGGCACAAGCTGCCATGCCAGGTTAAACCTCTTTTCTTTACCAATTATCCAGCTTCAGATATTTTGTTATAATAACAGAAAACTGACTAATGTATTCCCAAAGTTATCCATCTTCTTCCCAGTCTTGTTTTTTCTCTTACATGCTGCACCTCTAAGGTGGCTCCATTCAGTCCCCTCAGGACAGAAACTTGGCAGATTTCTTAATTTTCCACATCTATGTGCACTGGATCTTTTTACCTTCCTGTCTTCTACTTCACCAATCCTTTCACTCTGCTTCTAATCTCATGAAACACATCTAAAGAGCATTTCAGGGCTGGAGAGATGGCTCAGAGGTCAAGAGCACTGGCTGCTCCTGCAGAGGACCCAGATTCAGTTTCCAACACCCAAATGGTGGCTAACAACCATATAACTCAAGTTCCAGGGGATCTGACACCCTCTTCTGGCCTCAGTGGGCACTGCATGCACGGGTGCATTTACATGCACACAGGCAAAACATTCATACACAAAAAATAAAAATTTAAAAATCTATAAAAATGAAGAGAATTTCAACAACTTTTACATTTTCTATTTTAGGGTGTTTGGTTGTTTGTTTGAGACAGTGTCTTATGTAGCCCAAGCTGGCCTTAAACTCCCTATGTTGCAGAGGATAACCTTTGTTAGAGACCACTGGCCTGACTGAACTCTGTTGAAAGCGTACTTGACATACTTGCAAAGTCATCATCAGCCAAGAACATCTATAACGGCAAAGCCACGTTGGCATGTATGCAGACGCAGCTCTGAAGTGCAGTGTCCCTGGTATAATTTAGATTAGATAAGGACGCTATGAGCTACTCAAACTGTTTTGGGAATATCGATTCTACACCCTGTAAACAAGCTACATTTAGTCTTAAATCATTTCCTGAGCTCCTGCAGAAGTGTTCTTTGACCTCCTATCTTTGATCCTGAGTCCCTGCTTAGAGCACCTCATCTTTGCTAATGAAAATTTTAGTAGTTAAATGATCTGGATTTTCTACTACAACCACCACTACGCCCCCTCACTAGAAGTAGCAGACCTTGAACTCCTGATCCTCCTGCCTCAGCTTCCCAAGTCCTGAGTTTACAGGTGTATACCACTGTGCTCAGTTTATGAGGTACTGGGGATGGTATTCTAGACCAATATTCTAGTCACTGAGCTACATTCCAGGCCCTGTTTTGTCTCAAAAAAATAAAAAAATCCTAGCATCTGAGAAATAGAGGCAGGTGGAATCCTGAGAGATCTGAGGTCAGCCTGTTCCAGGCCAGTGTCACATAGTGAAACTGTTTCTCAAAACAAACAAAACAAAACAAAACAAAACACGGTGGGAGATGGGGAGATGGCTCAGCAGAATCCTGAGAGATCTGAGGTCAGCCTGTTCCAGGCCAGTGTCATATAGTGAAACTGTCTCTCAAAACAAACAAAACAAAACAAAACAAAACAAAACACGGTGGGAGATGGGGAGATGGCTCAGCAGGTAAGTCCTTGCTGTGTAAGCATTGTGACCTGAGTTCAAATCTCCAGCACCCAGTGAAAAACCTGGTATGCCAGGCATAACTGTGATCCCAGCACTGTGGTGGTGGTGGGGGTGGGAAGAGACAGGGGGATTCTGGGGTTTGCTGTCTGCTAGCCTAGCTCCAGGTTTAATAAGAGATGCTGTCTCAAGAGAATAAGGTATAAGCACAGACATGTGCATACACCACACACACAATAACCAATGTAGATGACAACCTGAAGTTTTCCTCAGACTTACACACCTGTGCATACACATGTGAGGACACACATAAACCCAAAATAAAATAGAATATAAAACAAAATGTTCTAAGTAATCTTTCCTGTCATTTTTTTCCAGCCAGAGTCTGTTCTAGAACTTTCCATCCTCTTTCCTCCAGCTTCCCATGGTATGATGGGCCTGCATATCATCATGCCCAGCTGCTTTAAGGACCAGTCTGTTTCGGTTTCAACCTCCCACCTTGGTTGAGGTCTGGGGGACCTGGGATGGTTACCCACCCCTCTCCAGCCCCACATGTCCTCAGGAAGCCTGGCACACCGCTGCAGCACCCTAGTACCTAATTTCCTTTGCGTTTCTTGGAGCTTCACCTTCTGCTTGTACCATTGCCAGTGGGAGGGGAGTTTGTGAATCTGGGGACTCCCTTTGCTATGGTTCCATCTATTTTCAGGCTCTCTAGCAGCTCCCAGTTCCTCCCTTGTTGACTCAGTCTAGCAACTTCTCCTGATGGCTCTGTTTCCCCCATCGTAGCTTTGGATTGGAAAGTGTGCTCTCGGAGAACCAGCCAGGCCACCTGTGAAACTCTGCGTCTGGCTTCCCTCTTTCGAAGATCGCAGCGCCTTAAGTTCCTTCCTCCATTTGGTACTCTTCAGAAACTTCAAATCACTGGCTGTCATCTGTCCAGCATTTTATAGCTGTCGCTGGCAGAGGTCGTACACAAGAAATTCCATCAAGCTCAAAACTGAAGCCTTTGCCCCAAAAGTCACCTGTCCCTGAGGCTCCCACAGCTACCTGCCAGAGTCACTATATCAAGCTACTTTCCATCCCTCTGCAGGAATCTATCCAACCTTCCACCTAGACCACCTCGCCTGCCTCCATTTTCTTTTGCTCTCATTTACTCTTACTTCCCCCAATCTGTCTGCCACCCCCAGTGCAGAATTATTTGTAAAAATAGAAAATTTTTAAAAAAAAGGAAAAAAGAATAGAAACCAGGGGTTGGGGATGTGGCTCAGTGAGTAGAGTGCTTGCCTAGCATGCACAGAGCCCTGGGTTCCATCCCCAGCACTGCATAAACCAGATGTGGTGGTACATGCCTGTGATTTTTTTTTTTTTTTTTTTTTTTGACAGGGGCCCCCCTTGTACCCCCGCCTGCCCTGAAACTTACTATGAAGCCCGGGCTGCCTTTGACCCCACAGAGCCCCCCCTGCCTCTGCCTCCCAAGTGCTGGGATTAAAGGCGTGCGCCACCATGCCTGTAATTCTAGTACTCAGGAGATAGAGGCAGGAAAATCAGGAGTTCAAGGCTAACCTCGGTTACATAGTGAGTTCAAGACCAGCTGGGCTACATGAGACCCTATCTTGAAAAAAAAAAAAGGAAAGAGAGAAAGAAAAAAGAGGCTGGGTGTGGTAGCACATCTTTAGTCCCAGCACTTAGGAGGCAGAGGCAGGTGGATCTCTGTGAGTTCAAGGCCAGCCTGGTCTACATAGTGAGTTCCAGGCCAGCTGGGGCTACAGAGAGATCTTGTCTCAAAAAGACAAAAAAGAAAGAGAAAAAAAGAAACAAGGGTTGGTGAGATGGCTCTGTGGGAAAAAGAGCTTGCTGCCAAGCCTGGATCTGAATTAGACCTCCAGGACCCACATGGTAGAAGGAGAAAACCGACTCCTCAACGTTTTCCTCTGACCTCCACATGTACACTGTGGCAAGCATGTGCCAACACACAGACAGACACAGACACACAGACACGACACACAGACACACACACACATGTACACACAAAATGTAAAGGGGCTGGAGAGATGCGTCAGTAGTTAAGAACACTGGCTGCTTTTGCAGAGAACCTGGTTCAGTTCCCACATGGCAGCTACAACCATCTGTAACTCCAGTTGTAGGGGATTCAATGCCTTCTTCTGGCCTCTGAGGGCAATTCATACACATGGTGCACTTACATACATGCAGGCAAAACATTCACACAACATTAAAATAATAATTTTTTTAATGTAAAGAAAACCTAAAAAACTACCTGTAGGTGGCTTAGTCTTGATCAGATAGAAGATAGTTTGTAGCCAAGTGCAAAGGCAAGCTCTGCCTCCTGAAGGCACTGGGACTGCAGGGCCTTAATTTGCATCCTCAGAGGGCCAGAAGAAACCTCTGCTGACAAGGCCACTTGGGCTTTCCTTCCTCTGCCCTGCCTTTCCCATGGGGATTCCAGGAATTTGACGCAGTCTTTTTCTTCCACTGACCAGCATCTAAAGTTGTGAAACTCAATCAAAAGCCTTATGGTAGCTGGGGGTGGTGCGCACTCCTTTAATCCCAGCACTTGGGAGGCGGAGGCAGGTGGATCTCTGTGAGATCGAGGCCAGCCTGGTCTACATACAGAGTTCCAGACTAGCTGGGGCTACAGGGAGACCCTGTCTCAAAAAGACAAAAAAAAAAAAAAAAAAAAAAAAAAGCTTTGTGGAAGTTTCTTCTCTCTCTCCTTTCTAAATTACATATAATCTTTATTTTTTTTCTTTTTTAGGTGGTTAGGGATGGAATCCAAGATCTCACACATGCTATGTAAATGCTTTACCACTAAACCATGTCCCCAGCCTCTCACTGGGGGATTCTAGGCAAGCATTCCACCACTGAGTCATGCCCCCAACCCCTCACTAGGGGAATTTTAGGCAAGTGCTTTACCACTGAGACATTTCCCCAAGTCTTCTTTTTAATTTCCTAATAATGTTTATTTACTATTATTGTTGTTGTATGTGTGTATGTACGTATGTATGTATGCATGATATGCATGTGTGGGTACCTGAGTGGAAGTCAGAGGTCATTTTAGTGGGGTAGGTTCTCTCCTTTTACCTTTACATATGTTCTGGGGTTCTAACTCAGGACACCAGGGCATGCAGCGAGTGCCTTTACCTGATGCCCATCTTTTTGAGGCAGTCTAAGTTGCCCAGGCTAACCTTCAACTCACTGTATATAGCCTAGGCAGGCCTTGAACTTGAAATCTTCCTGCCTCAGTCTCCTGAGCAGCTGAGATGACAAACTTGCACCACCAGCCTCAGAGGTGTGGCGTCTTCTACATGAAAATCATACTTGCAACCCCATGGACTGGGGGCAATTTTATAATCAAGAGAGGGGCTGGGAGTGGTGGATAGTACCTATAATCCCAACTCTCAGGAAGCTGAAGCAGGAGAATCTCAAGTTTTCTACCAGACTGGGCTATATAGACCTTGTCTCAACCAAACCAAACAGCTGGGTGTGAGGATAGTTTGAGATGGGGGGAGTTGATTGGGGGAATCAGGGTAGAGATGGCTTGGGAGATGTTGATAGGGAAAAATGAAGTTGGGGCTGGGCTAGATGGTCTCAGGTTGAGGTGCTGGGATAAGGAATGGTGATGTAGGACTGGGGACAGAATCAGGGGGTGAGCATGAGGTTTTGTTAGAGGTGGTAAGGGATGCTGTAACTCACCAGGTCTGGGCCGGTTGCACAGGTTTGTAGAGCACACAGTCTCTCTGAGGCTGATGATGGTGGTGCCCATCCGGTAGCTCATAGTCCTATTTGTCTTCTCAGAATGGGCACAGCCTCTGGTCACCAACTCCAGTTCATCATCTTCTGTGAGGAATATGGCTTTAGTCTCCAAGGCTAAAGAGGTTTCCTGGTCCCAACCATTTTATGACATTCTTGGTCACCCATCTCCAGCACTGATCTTTTAAAAACATTTTTTTATTATTTTATGTGTATTAGTACATTGCCTGCATGAAATGGCTGTGGAGGTCAGAAGAGGAGTTACAAATGGTTGCTAGCTGCCATGTGGGTGCTGAGAGCCGAACCCGGGTCCTCTACAAGAGCAGTCAGTACTCTTAACTGCTGAGCCATCTCTCCAGCTCCTCCAGCACTGAGCTTCATAGGCCTTTCTTCTTGTTTGGACCAACTCTGTTTTTTCTAGAATCATCTTCCTCTTCCCATATACAGGGAAATTGCTCTCTCTATTTAGTGACATCATCATTTGGACTTTCAGAATTGATTTACAATCGAAGCCAGCAGGGAGATGCCTTTAATGGAATTTTTTCTTGGTTATACATTTATTTATTTATTTATTTATTTATTTATTTAAAAAAACTGTAGCCCCAGCTGGCCTGGAACTCACTATGTAGACCAGGGTGGCCTTGAATTCACAGAGATCTACCTGCCTCTGCCTCCTGAGTGCTGGGACTAAAGGCGTGTGCCACCATGCCCAGCTTGGTTATAAATTTAATTAAATTATTATTATTTTTGAGACTGGATCTTCCTGTAGCCCCAGCTAGCCTGGAACTTGGTATGTAGATCAGGCTAACCTGAATCTCACAGAGATACTCCTACCTGTGCCTCCCAAGTACTGGGTCTAAAGGAGTGTGCCACCACTGGGCTTAATGGGTTTAAAAAAAAAGATTTATTTATTTATTATTTATTGTATGCACGTGTGCTTGCGTGTGTTTCTGTGCACCATGTGCATGGAGATGCCCAAGGAAGTCAGAGAACAGTCAGATCCCCTGGAACTGGAGTTACAGGTGATTGTGAGCTGCCTGATGTGGGTGCTGGGAACCAAATCTGGGTCCTCTGCAAGAGCAGGAAGTGCTTTTAACTGTTGAACCATCTCTCTAGCCTTGTCAGAGGTTTCAACGTATGCAATTTAATATTTGGGGAGACGTTTCTTGGTCCGTTATTTCCTGTCATACTGGGGGTTGGGGTCATCCTTACCTTTCCATTCCCGAAGGTGTGTGGTCCTGCAGAGGTTCTGGCCCAGGGCACACTCTTCTACCGTGCACTTGTGATTTATCTCACACTGCACGCACCGCAGTCCCCAGGAGGCTGGGTGGAAAAGAAGTGGTTAACAGGGTCTGCTTCTGACCACGGCGTGCCCCGAAATCAGGACCGTCTCCAGACCAGATCTCCTCGGATATGTATACCACGTCCAGGCTGTGCTCCATTTCAACACCGGCGGTGGTTCTTGTACTCTGAATCTGTTCATTTAACCCTGGTTCAGTTGCCCACAAGTCCCTCCTCAAAAAGTTTCTCTCTCTCTCTCTCTCTCTCTCTCTCTCTCTCTCTCTCTC